ATATAATCCCTTTCATTCAGTTTACAAGTTATTTTTTAATTTTTTAAATTATTTGCCACAGCTTTTAACCTCTTTTTTTCCTCTCTAAATACCCCAAAAGAAATTGAAAAAAATATTTTGACGTTAAAAGCCAATGAGGGGATGGAGATCGCGAAATTAACAAAGAAAAAGCCTCCACCTCGGATATAATACTAAAGAAAGTAATTTCAATTATAAACATTTAATTAAAACTCATAAACTTGATTAGGAGTTTTAGAAAAAATGTCTATAGATAAATACAATTAAAAAAAAAACTGCTCCCTTGTACCTTGAAAATAGATACAACAAATTAAATAAATTCTTACTTACAATTTTTACGCACAATCCCCTAGATACCAAGCTTAAAAGCTTTTTATTGTTTCCCCATTCAATTAAAAGTTGATTAAAAACTTCCATTCCCTTTTTCGAAATTAGTTTTTTGTTATAAAAATGCTTAAAAGCATTTTTAAAGTTTTTATAAGTTTGTATTACAAATGGATAAAAGCATACAAAATTAGGCGCTTGTAAAAAAATGAAATATAATAATTTTTGAAAATAACTACTTGTACTTATTTCGTTAATTTTCGTTTATATTTATACTTATTTATATCATTTGCTCTGACTGTTTTTCGGTTTAAAATTAAGTTAAAATTTCACAATTTGTAGGAAATTGTGACAAGTTTTATGAGAGATCCATTGTCAGATGGGCGTAAATTAATATATATTTTCACATTTTATCTAATTTTCAGTTTTTCAATAAATTGTTGATTTTTTTAAAAACTAAAAAGTGAGTTTTCTTATTTTTTGAAAAGTCTTAAAAACTCAAAATTTCTGGGTGATGAACATGTTATGTAATGTTGAAGAATATCATTCGAATATTTTTTAATAGAAGAACATGCCAAGAATTTTCTAGACATAGAAAGCTTCTCCGTCGAATGCATTGTCAGCACCAACCCGAAATCAAAGAGTGAAATGTTACTTTTGAGACAATCCTTTTTAAAGATTTATTATTTTATATAATTTATTTTACAAGAAATAAAAAGCATATATATTTCTGGATAAATCATGTGTGACATACGCATAGTTGACTAGAGGATGAATCAATTAATGCAATTAAGTAAAAGTTGACAAATTTGCAGCTTCCTGGTGTTGGCGTGCAGCCACCGATATCAAGATGGAAAAGATTCTAAGAATAGTTAAAAAATTTGAAAAAATGTAGAGAACGAGACCAAACACTATAAATTACTCTGTGAGAGCCACGATGGCTCAGGGGATAGAGTGTTTGCCTTCCAGCGAGGCGAACCGAATTCGAATCCCAGTCGATACGATATTCGCATCCGGCTTGAACCGACCACAGTGCTGACGTAAAATATCCTCAGTGGTAGACGGATCATGGGTTTGAGTCTCATTGCCGTTAGGCTAACCATGGGAGGTTCTCGTGATCTTCCTTTCCATGTAACGCAAATGCGGGTTAGCTCCATCAAAAAGTCCTCCGCGAAGGTAAGTTTCTCCAATGTTTGATCTCAAGTCTTCCCTTGCTTTCTGGATTGGGTTCAAAATTACAAGGCTGCGGAGTTGAACGATAGTATAGTCGTCAGCGCAAAAAATTGCATCGGTTGTTCAACGATGGTTATAAAATATAATAAAATCACTCTGTGGCATTATACCGCACTACTTTTTCTGTTCATTAATTCTTTTCTGGTCATAGAATTGCAAAATATACAGACTCTTATCCTGTTATTATTGACTCAACTGCAACTTTTTGCAAAGTTTCTAGATATATTTTTACGAAAATAATTATGACTAGGAGGCTTCGCCCCCCTGCTTGCTGGCGCTCGCCAACCCCCGGAACTGCTTTCGCAGTTCATCCGATTCTCGCTTTGATCGCTCATTGGATACGTTCTTAACGTCTAGCTTTTGTATACTTTTTTGAACACTGAAGTTCCGAAAACTTTTCACTGTAGAAAATTCTAAACCTGTGCATTTCAATATTAATTTGAAATTGCAAACATTTCGCATATTTTGCTTAATCACACTATTCTAAATTTCAGTTGTTGAGAAAAGTAACTGTTGTAAGTTTTGTTTTAAAGTCTTTCCCACCA